TTACAACATTTACAATTAAGTCCCTTTTTTTTTTACAGAATTGTCAATTACACAATTAAAACCTATCAAAAGTGATTGAACATAGAAAGCGAGATGCAAAATACTTGACTTTTTTTGTAATCCCACACCACACTGTCATCCATAAGTCTTCATCCATAGCGGTTTAATGAATTCAATAGTGGGATTTGTTTCAATTCTTTTGTCGATTAATGATTGGATTTTAGAGTGCAATCAAGTAGTGGCTTACGAAATTATTTTAATCATCAATCTCATAATTTGGATGTATAGATTGGGATTGGAAATAGGGTATGTATAATTGTTGGACTAACTCCCAATTTGTTCCGTGGGAGCCACTGTCATCAAACCTTAGGTATCTTCAAAATCATGGGCGATGGCGTGACCTTCACTTTTTAAAAAAAAAAACAAATTACTTTTTCTCTTGTTTAATATAATAGTTTAAATTTAGGGAAAATTAGCTCAAACCCTACTTATAAACTATGCAATTCAAAATTTAGGTTTAAAAATTTTTTATACAAAAATCAGGTGATAATTTAATTTTTTTAATATTATTAAAATAAATTAATTTACATAACCAATCAACCCCCCATCCAACCCAAACGTTAACCCTGATCCTAAATCATCTTCCTTTCTCCCCCATCTCTCTCCATCCTCTTCTCTCTTCTCATTTTCCACTGGAAGCTACAGTGGAGAGACTATTGTCGAGAGACCACCGCCAACGCACGACGTCACCGGTAAAGCTTGTGGCATCTCCGACGTCGCCTTTTCCTCTGGCAAGCTGCAGATTTGCCTTTTCTCTCTTCTCTCACTTCTCTGACTTCGAAGCTGACAGTCGACGACGAATGAGATGCGCTGGAGGGGTGTGTGTGTGATTGGTAGCGCTGCACGTGATCTGTGAAGAAGCTGTGCGTCCCACTTTTTCTCCTCTCTATCGCAACTGTGGCGGCGTTGCAAATCTGTGAAGAAGCCCTGCGGCGCTGCACGTGATCTGTGAAAAAGCCGTGTAGGTTGTTATTGGTAGGTTACAAAATGGTGGTGGTGGTGGCGGCGGCGGTAGCAGAGGTGGCGAGGTGAGGGTGGTCATAGATGGTGGTCTTGGTCATGATG